GGCCTTGAATTCTGCTTCTTACTCCCACTTGGCCTTTAGTGCTCAAGGCTGACACTCTTACCACTTGAGCCATAGAGCTCCACTTCCCCTGTTTCCTATTCTTGTTGCTAAAGCCTCTAAGAGCCCATGTTTAGGGACCCTGTGCTAGGAACTATATTTTACATTCTTCACCTTCTACGTACTTTCTCTTGTAGATGCCAACTCTATACACTATATAATCAGAGCAGCCTCACTCTCTGCCTTTGATTAGTTTAGCCAATGAGAGGGACTGGCAAGAGATCAGAGGACTGAAGGGAAAGAGCTGGAAGTTATACTTTCCCAGCACCTCCCAGATTCCCTGTGTTTCTGGCAGCATGGCGTTTTGTGGTTACAACTCCAGTAGGGTGGTCCCTCTTGCTGGATTCACTGGTTTCCATCACTGACTTCACCCTCTTATCTCCTCTGCTGTGAGTGCTAAGAGAACTGTTTTTTTCTTTTGCCATTGCTAGTACCTAAGTTTGCTCTGACCATGCCTCTGTATAGAGTTCTTCCATTAAACCCCTTCCTGAGCCCTTTGAATGTGCCTTCTCTGTTCTGTCATACCTGATACAAACTACTTGTTTTGCACCTTTCAGATGAGAATTCTAACTGTTCCCCAATATTAAAAGTGTTATAGTTTGGAGATGGCTTGAGCATATACCTCAAGACTTCAGGTGTTGAAACCTCTCCTTATTGTGAAGTATTAAGAGGGTGGAAACTTAGGTTGTTGTGGTAGTAATCACCTATAATTCCTATCATCTCAAATACTCTAAAGGTTGGAACAGAAGGTTCAAAATTCAAGGCAGCCAGAAAAAACATACTGAGACTCCTTTGGGAAAGAAAAAACAAAAAGAAGTGGAAGCAATCTGACTACTGTATTTTGAGGTGAGGCCCCCTGGGAGGTGATTATGATTAGATACGATCATCAGGGTGGAGTACCCATGATTGAATCCTGGTGCTAAGAACAGGGAAGACCAGATGACACACACACATGTGCCCCTTGTGTCCTGGCCTGTGATGCCCTGGACCACCTTAGGAGGACTATGCCAGCAAGAAGTCCATCAGGAAGGGCTGGAGTGTGGCTCAAGTGGTAGAGCACTGCCTAGCAAGTGTGAAGCCCTGACTTCAAACCTCAGTTACCACCCTCTCCCCACCTCTCAAAAAAGAAGCCATCACTAGATGTGGCTACTGGATCTTGAATTGTCAGACTACAAATCATAAATAAATCTCTCTTAGCTGGGCACTGGTAGCTCACACCTGTAATCCTAGCTACTCAGGAGGCTGAGATCTGAGGATCATGGTTCAAAACCAGCCTAGATAGGAAAGTCTGGGAGACTCTTATGTCCAATTAACCACCAGAAAACTGGAAGTAGCACTGTGGCTAAAGTGGTAGAGTGCTAATCTTGAGCTGAAGAACTGAGGTTCAGTACCTAGGCCTAGACACCTCTCTTCTTTATAACTTAACCCAGTCTGTAGCACTGTGTTATTAGCAACAAAAATCAATTAATATAAAACAGATATAATCTGGAAGACTTGAAGGCACCTTTTGAAGAGACAAGACATCCTCCCTGGGCACTTGCCTCTAGCTTCACACACCTTCTGATTTTTGGTGCAGGTGAGTAAGTGGAAAGTCATCTAATGCTCTGCTACCAGGTGACATATTTTACCAAATACTCCTCTGTTGCTCACCATAATTATCTGTATTTATGTAGAAGCTGCATTCCTCTTACCATCTATCTCATTAGACTTTCAAATTGCCTCTTTTATTTATGCATAACACATGAATGATTCACAAGTGGGAAAGTCACCAGGGCTCCTTGTACTTCAGTCTCCTCATCTGTAAAATGGGATAATATCAACCTCATAGGGTTACGAGGACTAAATGTGTAACCTGCAGTGATGAGAATGGCAGGTACAGTGTTAGCAATTACTGGTAGTACTGTCTCATCTCAGTGGCCTGGTCCACTTTCCTATCATTTATGTATAAGAAGAGAGAAAAAGGGTCCTGGCAGAAAATTCTTAAGGGTCACTTCCTATTTCCAATACTTTCCTCAGCACTCGGTCTCTATCTGCACTGTGTTCCTCAGAGATTTCGATCTCTTTCAGCTTTTCATCCCAGGAGCTCCAGGAAAGACAATCAGCAAGATTGTAGCCTGTTTACAAATAGTGTCCCGGGGAGCCTGGAGTTCCCCAGAATCCCAGAGCCCACAGAAAGTAGGTTCTGCCGCCTCAGCTTGGTTAAGCTTCCTTTCCAAACTCTTAGAAGAAAGGCTTTCAAGACTTTAAAAGGTTGAAAATTTCTGTTTTGACAAGGTATTAAAATCTCCGACTTTACAACTTTCAGTCCTTTCATCTTTCAGCCTCCCTGCCAAGACACGTTCTCTAGTCTATAGCCTTTACCATTTCTGATGCTCTGAAAGACATATGCAAAAAAGCAACTCAGTGCACTTATCTTGGGGGGGGAGTGTCTTTCTTTCCCGGACACTCCTCCTATTCAGTAAACAAAGTCTCCTAAAGGTAACTGCAACATTGTTTAACAACAGAGACATCTGAAGGCACATCTGATCCAGCAGTTGCAATACTTGCAACCTCTGGAATACTTTCAACCCCTGGAATACAAAATTACTCAGGATCCTCCATTTTTATGACTCTGGACCAGATCTGGTTCCTGTATCTGTTAAAGTGAGGAAAGTGGGTCATAGAAGCTGTTCAGGGGCTCAATCCTAAAGAAGAGTTCCAAGAATCTGGAATTGGTATAGTACCTAACATTCCAACAGTATAATATCTTTATACAGTTTAAGACTTTGGACAGAGCAAACAAGTAACACATGAAGACCTCTGCTCCTAATGCTCTGATCCCAGATTAACACAAGGTTCCCTCTGGTCTCCATTTGAAGTTTTGGTTTCAAATGTTATCTTACTAAACTGCAACAGGAGTATCAACCTTGGGGGCTTGCCAATCCTCTTCTGGTCATGCCCGAAACTTTCCACAAAGCAAGAAACTCATGAGCCAAGGACAAGTGACCATTCAAAGCTGTCACCTGTTCTGTGATTATTCTGTGGGTGCCTGAGACCCTAAAGCTCACGGTCATTATAGCAACTGGCAGGCAACAGGGAAACATCTTGAATTGCCCTTTTCCCAAGGTCACTCTAAAAGGAGTGAGCAAAGAGAGGCTGTGTGTAGGAGATATGTATGAACTCAGAAGTGCAAACAAGGATGTTACAGGTGCAAAGAGGAGGAGGAAGGATAAAGACCAGAAACCAGTTACCCACAAGTCACTACATTCCATTGCCTATCTCAGAAATGTCCAAAGTTTCTCAACTTCAATTTGCCCTTCCAAGGTATGCATTGTCTCGTGAAAAAAGTAGGAAATGTTACAGTAAGAGTTTCATTTGGAAGCCAGGTGCCAGTGGCTCACACCTATAATCCTAGCTACTTATCAGTTTGAGATCTGAGGATTGTGGTTCAAAGCCAGCCTGGGCAGGAAAGTCCAACTTAACATCAAAAAGCAGAAAACGGAGCTGTGGCTCAAATGGTAAAGTGCTACTAGCATTGAGTGAAAAAAGCTAAGGGACATCATCCAGGCCCAGTTCAAGCCCCAGTACTGGCACTGGCACACACATACACTTCAATTTGGTAATTTATTTTTATTTATTTTTTGTTGGCTGTGGGACTTGAACTCAGGGCCTGGGTGTTGTCCCTGGGCTCTTTTGCTCAAGGCTGGAGCTCTACCACTTTGAGCCACACAGCCACTTCCAGTTTTCGGGTGGTTCATTGGAGATAAGAATTTCAAGGACTTTTCTGCCCAGCCTGCTTCGAATGGCAATTCTCAGATCTCAGCCTCCTGAGTGATTAGGATTACAGGCGTGAGCCACTTGGAGCCCAGCGGGTTTGTAATTTTTAAACACCCCAGACACATAGGATCTCATGTGGTTTCCATTTGTACTACGGACACAGTCCCTACAAATATTAGGGATGGGCTTGTCCCTGACCATCCTCTCTAAAACAGCACCTCGTCCTGTCTTATTTCCTCATAGAATTTGACGGCACCCGACCTGCTTCTCCTCTATTTGTGTTCCATCTCTTTAGCCTCAAAAATAAGGTAAGTTGGCGTCCTCACCGTCTCTTCTGTTTAGGGTCTTGGTCTTCGTCGTGAGAGCGCGGTGAACGCGGAAACCTCCAATGAACACGTCTGGTGTGAGCGGACTGGCAGGTAGGGTGGGCGAGGCACCAACCTCAGACCGAACGTCTGACCCACACCTTCTCCCCTTCAACCAACTCACAAGACCCTGGAGCTACAAAAGCTGGCAGTGGGAATCCATGATCGTCTTCACCCTGACGCCCTGCTGAGGTTACTGGTGAGAGGCAGGGCGGGCCGCGGCCGCCGTGGAGCGCGCTTCCAGTGCGCGGCCCCGACGCCTCCCTCCCGCAATGGCGCCCTTTGGTGGTCCGGGCCTCCGAGGGGCAAGCGCCTCCATCCGATCCCATCCGATCCTCGCGGGCCGTGGCGGCCTCACAGACGTGTGCACACTGCCCTACCGCGTGCTCCTCTTCCTTCCGGCCTATTTCAAACTCGCCACGTCGTTACTGTGGTGGGGTTCCTGGAACTTTCCAGAACAGGAGAAGGCTCAGTAGCATCCATCCCAACGGACTCCGCTTCAGTCGCATACAGAGGCCTCGAGAGGCCAAATGACCTTCCCCAGCGACCCCAGCCCGGGGCCTTCTGTTGGCGGATGGCACTCGCTGGGGCTGGGCTTGGCCGAGGCGGGAACTGTGTCAGGCATCCCGGAGGGAGTCAGCTGACCGCCCAGGGGGCGCTCGCCGCCCGAGCGGCTCCCGCGCCAAGTTCGAGGTCGACTGGCTTCAAAGCCCTAGGCCTGTCGGCCGGGGGCGGGGCAGGAGGCGGGGACAGGGGCGTGGTCGCGAGGCCCCGCCCTCCGGGCGGAGGCCCCGGGTGCCGCAGCGCCGCCCGGCCCCGGCTGGTCACAAACTTGTCGGAGGTGGTGGATCCAGCCGGCCGGTATGGGGAGGTACGGCCGCCACTCGGGGCCGCGGCGGTCGCTGCTGCCGCCGCCGCCGCTGCTGTTGCTGCTGCCGTCGCTGCTGCTCCTGGCGCCCGACGCTGGCGCGGCCCAGCTCTCGGTGCTCTACTCGGCCTCCGACCCGTTGACGCTGCTGCAGGCGGACACGGTTCGCGGCACCGTGTTGGACTCCAGCGGCGCCTGGGCGGTGGAGTTCTTCGCTTCCTGGTGCGGCCACTGCATCGCCTTCGCCCCGATGTGGAAGGCTCTAGCCGAGGACGTCAAGGGTGAGCAGCCGAGGCCCTCCCCCGCGCACACCCTCCTTTCCTAGGGGCCCCCGCCGCCTGCCTGGGTTCCCGCCTTCCGGCCGGCTCTGCCCCTCGCACGCCCTCGCTTTCTCATCCTCCTGATTCCATTTCTGCCTTTGCCCCTTTCGGTTCCCGTCTGGGGCTCCCCTCCGCTCCTCCCGGCCCTCGAACCTCTGCTGGCGCCGGTCGTCTGTCAGGAGGTTGCCCCTATGCCTGAAAGGGGGTCTCCTTTGTTCCTCCTGCTCCTTAGACCCCTTAGGGCCTCCCCCGGGCCAATCTTCTTCTTGGGGCGCAGGGACCATGTCACCTGCCGAGTTCCCTAGCTGCCCTGGATCGATGCTGGGAGGAAAGGGAATTGACCGTCACCCTGCCGCCCCCACCGCCTTTCTCCGCCCCGTGGCTAGTTGACACAGCTGGTGTATAGATTTCCTTTCTCATGGTTGTCTTTGAGGTGAGTGCCACACAGGGCAATGTTCCTGTTTCTGGCCCTGGTCTCTTTTGATCTGCTAACTCCCAGTTCTTTGGCTTCCGGTCAGCATCCTTATCTCTTCCCCTTGGCCCTGGGCCTTCTCGGACCTTTAACTCCACGGACCCAGTAGCAGCCCCTACTAGGTAGGTTTGGCCCTTTCTCCATGTGCCTTTTTCTCTGGCCTGAGTCCTAGCACCATGTTTTCTTGATTTGAAGATGCCAGTTGTAAGATGCGCCATTCATTTAATAACAGCCTGAGGGGGAGCAGGATAAGAAACCGACTAAATTTATAGAGATTTTTCAAGTGCACTGTATTGTAGAAATGTAACAATGGTTAAAAACCCAAGTCTTGGAATTGAGGAATTATAGTCACTATTGTACTTAATATTTATACTGAATGCATATATCAAATACCTTACTAATTGATGAACATATGTTACCTCAGTTTCCTCTGTACAGTTTAAAGATCCGTGTTGTATCTCATGGACCTAGCCCAGGCAGCATTTGAGGGAGCAGGAATGTCTGGTGGTAGTGATTTGTTTCTGATTTTCTGCTTCTGAACTGAGCAACTTCTGGCTTTGGTGCTAGGGTACTGGCAGGACTCTTAAATGGTCCTGGAATGGTCATTGTATGAGAACTATTGACATCTTAGGGACTTAGGGCTTTCTAGAGAAAGAAGAATTATAACTGTTGTTATGGTATTGATATTTCTTGATAACCTCAACAATATGTAGGTATCAGTTTTCCAACTCAGCTTCCTTCCTCCCTTCAATACCTTGTAAAGGTATCATTGAAGAAGCTAGATGGAATTGCATGTATGTATTTAGCTACATAGCCCTGAAAAACAGGTTTTTAAACAAAATTTATAAACCCTTTTCCTCCAATTTATGAGGGACCACATGCCTCCCTGATCCTGTCACCCACAATCCACCTCTGAGCAGCCCTTCACACTATTTTAGTGATGTCAACACATGTGGCCAGGGCAGGAGGGAGGAAGAATGTGTTCCATGGAACCGGCACACAAAGGGGAGATAATCTCAGGGGACAGTGTGGGCCTGAACAGCGTAAAAGTGCCCTAATCAGTTTCCACTTTGAAGCTGTAGGAGGCCTTCAATGGCTATAAAGGGATATGATCTAAAACGTTCTTTCTTATTCCTTGAGAATGCTAAAGGAAAGATTACCTTCCAGCTGATTCATGTGTTTGGCTTCTTATAGCTCAGTTTTCCTATGAGTTGAACATCCAGAGACTAACCTAGTCTGTTCTTGTACTAGGGTTATCTCTTCCAAAAGAGGACTTTCAAGCTGGACCTGGTGGTGCACACCTGCAACCTCCCACACTTGGGAGGCTGAGGCCAGGAGGAGTGTAAATTTGAGGCCAGCCTCAGCCATTTAGCAAGATCTTGTCTCAAAAAAAAGAAAAGAAATACAGCAGTGGCACTCAGTAGGTACTATGTTGAAAATGAACCATACAACTTGTAGGCAAGGATGGGAGGGAAAAATCAGGAGAGCGCTAAGGAAGGAGTGACATTGTCCAGAAAGAAATGTACTTATTACCTGACTTAAGAAATGGTAACCCTTCTGAATGTCACTTTTATATTAAATTAATTTAAAACAAACACAAAGAAGAGCTGAGCACTAGTAGCTCATGCCCATAATCCTAACTACACAGGAGGGTGAAATCTGGGGATCACAGTTCAAAGACAGCCCAGGCAGACAAGTTTGTAAAACTCTATCTCCAATTAACCAGCAAAAAAGAAGTGAGAGTGCAGCTTAAGTGATACAGTGCCAGCTATGAACAAAAAAGCCAAGAGAGCGCAAGGCCCTTCGATCAAGCCCTAATATTTGCACCAAAAAGTGTATGTGTGCCGGGGGGGGGGCGGGGAATATTGGGAGGGGAAAAGGGAGAGGGAGGGGGGTGTTGGAGGGGGCTAGGTCTAGTGGTTTACACCTGCAATCTGCTCAGGAGGATCATGGTTCAAGGTCAGGCTGGGCAAAATGCTTATGCCTATGCCCCCCATCCCCTGTTCTTTTTGACCAGTAGCTAGGTATATTGATACACACCTGTTATTCCAGCTACCTGGGTGACTGAGATCAGGATGATTGTGATTGCTTGACAAAAAGTTCACAAGACTCCTCAAAAGAGACTGGGTGTGTTGGTGCTGTTTATCATCCCAGTAGAATGCCTAAAACAGGATGGCAATTCAGATGTGGGCCACAGGCAAAAAGTAAGACCCTATCTTAAAATAACTGGCAAATAAAGGCTGGAGGCATGGCTCAACAGTGGGTCACCCGCCTGGCAAGTACAAGTCTCTGAGGACAGTACTGAAAATAAAGGGGGAGGAGAAATGGCGCATACTTGTAATCCTGGATTCTTGAGAAATGAAGAGAGGAGGATCGTGATTTGACACAAATCCAGGTAAAATATTAGCTAGCTGTGGTGAGATACACCTATAATCCCTCTAAGGATTAGGGAGCTATGAATGAGGCCTAGCCACAGTAGGAGGATTTTAACTTGAGGCTATAACCAGGCAAAAGTGCAAGACCCCATGTGAAAAATAACTAAAGCATAAAAAGGGCTTGGGGTGTATCTCAAGTAGTAGAGTGCTGGCTTGGCCAACAGGGCCCCGAAGTTCAAACCCCAGTACCTCCAGCAAAAGACAAAAAATTAAAAAAATGGAATGTCAGTTTTTCCCTGAAAAGAAAAAGTCTTCCAAAGACCTGAGAAGCATCTGTGCTCCGAGATTCCTTGAAAAAGTAACTGTGGGCTGGCAGAGGGCAGTTCTCACACTGCTCTGTGCTGATAGATGTATCTTAGGCAGGAACAGAGTGTTTGGATGGTGTGGGAGGGGGCAGGCCCTTTGCCATCCTGCCCAGCTGGCTTCAGGCATTTAGTGTGTCTGGTCAGTGACCAGTGTGGAAGGTCTTTTGGCGCAGTCACTGCCCTGCGGTAAAACACTTGTTTCTGAGGACCTTGCCCCTTTCTGTTCCTCAGAAGCTCTTACTGGTTCTTTGTATGTTTGAGAAATTCTGTCCAATTGAGAACTTCATTAGTATTCACCAGCTAATCATTCAGTAAATATTTATTGAGTCATGAAGCATTGTTTACATAGCAGTTGGGGCAGTGAACCACACACAGCAAGAAAATTGGCAACAGTATAATGCTGTGTTTGAAAAGCATCACGGGAGTGGTTCAGCCATTTTTTTGTTGTAGGAATTCAAGGGACCGAGGGATAATTTGATCACCAATGACCTTTCTTCAAGCAGTTACTTATTATACACTGGCCTTATGTTATGGCTTCGTAGATAATCTTTTCCGAGAAAATATCTGAGACATGAATATCTTCCTGTAATTCTATGAGGTAAAATGATGTTCATTTTGCCTCATGATTCTGGAGGCTTGAGTTCAAGATAGGGCAGTCCCACTGGTTGTGAGCCTTGGGCAAGCACAGTGTATATCTTGTATGTGTGAGCATGTGTCACCAATGTGCTCATTTTTGAGTCTTTTTTTTGGGGGGGTGGTTTTTTAATAAATCATTTTTATTATCTTTAAGTAGGTGTACAAAGGAGTTGCCATTCAACAAAGCAGTTTATGAATACAATATGTCTTGATCAATGTCACCCCTTTCAGCATCCTCACCCATCCCTCCCAGTTTTGTTTTTCTTTTTACTTCTCTTTCTTTCTTTTTTCTTTCTTTTTTTTTTAAACTCAGGGCCTCCCACTTTCTAGGCAATCACTCTATCACTGGAGCCATATCTCCAGTCCTTAACTTTTAGTTTTGTTTTTCAGATAAGCGCTCATTTTTTTTTTTTTTTTTTTTTGCCTAGGTTGGCTTCCAACTTTTATCCTCTTCCCTCTCTAATGGCTGGGCTTTCAGATGTGAACTACCTCATCTGTCTTGTTTGAAATACAAATAACTTTTTACTCAGACTGACTTTGAATCACAATCTTTCAGAGTGGCTAAGATTACAGGTGTGAACTATCTCACCCAGTGTGAACTAGCTCACCCAGTATGAACTATCACACCCAGTGTGACTATCTCACCCAGTGTGAACTAGCTCACCCAGTATGAACTATCACACCCAGTGTGACTATCTCACCCAGTGTGAACTAGCTCACCCAGTCCCTGGTGGAGGCAGCTTGACCCCAGTTCTTTCAGACTCTCCAGAGTTTGGGCTGGAATAGAGGTGGGTGGAGGAAGAAGGGTACTCCAGATAGAACAATAGCATTTCAGAGCCATAGGGATGAGATTTATTTGTAATGTTTGAGCTCAGTGCAGCCACAGTAGACATTGTTGGTTTTTCCTTGTCTTATGTTTTTCCTGCCTTTTTGAGGCACAGATAACATCTCTTACATGGGTTCTTGTGATACCTAGCACTGAGCCCGGTATATGGTGGGAGTCTAAATACGCAGATCAACTGATGGCTTGAGCCTTGGGATTCCAAATGACAATGTGAGCAACAGAATCTTCTACTGGGGCTGTGGTTCCTCTTGACTCAGACCTCATGTCAGCCAGGTGTGAGGGGTAGGCATGGCATTTTGTCCATGCCGTGACCTCACTGCCCAGAAGCCTTGGACAGGGGATAGAATATGGTGGTGAAGGCATAGCACTGTGTAGCAGGGCATGAGATAAGCTAGCTCTGTGCCTAGAGCATATATTCCTGAAGACTTGGGTGGGGGAGTCAGAAATGAGAATAGGTCAGATCTAATCACTGGAGCACTGATCTTACTGGCTCTTGGTAGCTTGGGTACATCTGAGTCTCTGCCTCTGGGCCTTATTGAAGGTCCAGGTTGCTTTAACACCCAGCAGAAACATGGTCATTTTCCTTGCCAAGAATTGTTTGCCATCTAGAACCTGAATGGTTATCAGAACTGCAAAGGGCAGTAGAAACACTGGTCCTGGCACTCATTTGAAGCTGAAGCCAAGATGGGAGTCATGTAGAGCTCCAGACGCTATAGCTTTGGGAAAGTCTTCCATGTCTGAATCTAGTTCCCTTCCTGAACTTTGGAGTTGCAGAGGGATTCTACCTCTGAATCCAGAAGAAGCTTCGTGGGTCACAGCAGAATTTCCAGTGCAGTTATCCTCCGTCCATTGCTATCTTACAACTCTCTCTTTCTCCATTTCCTATTTGATTTGTAGCTACTAGAAAAAATACTCTGTACATGTCCACAATTGCTCCCAGAAACTTCCTCCCCACTTCCACCCCTCCCTTCCCTCCCTCCCCCACTTCTCTGTTTTGGTCCAAGTCTGGGATTCAAACTCAACATTTTTGCTCATTGGCTAGTGCCTTACCAACTGAACCATGCCTCCAACCCCTGAAACTTTCTTCTCAATAGTGAATAGGGCTGTGATATTAAAGTTGCTTCACCAGCTGGATGTTCATAGCTTACACCTGTAATCCTAGCCACTCGGAATGTTGAGACTGGAGGATTGCAGTTTAAAGCCAGCCTGGGGCAGGAAAGTCTATGAGATTTATCTCCAATTAACCACCAAAAAGCCAGAAGGGGAGCTGTGGCTTAAGTGGTAGAGTACTATCCTTGAGTGAAAAGGCTAAGGGACAGTGCCCAGGTCCTGAATTCAAATACCAATACTGGCATAAAAATAAAATAAAATAAAGTCACTACAACAGAAAATCTCTCTTACCCAGACAGCAGGCACTTACTTAAATGCAGCTCTGCTTGAGCAGTGGGCACTCAGATAAGGCAGATTTAATTTTCAGATCTTAACTGGTTTTTATTTGTAATTTTAGAACTGGATAACATTTCATTCTAGAAAGTCGAATGCCTATTTCCAATGAGCTGAGCAGAAAAGTGTGGCTGTCCAGACAGGAAAGGCTGAAGATGGCAGAAATAACAAAAAGTGGATTAATCATTTCAAAGTTTCTTTCCTTGTAAACAATAAAGCACTGAGGCCTTATCATGTTGGCTAGAACTGGCCTGTTTGGGGATTGGCTGTTACTTCTCTCCTCTGATTTCTTGGAAGGTCAGGTCATTTGAGTTGCAATGTCGTGGCATGTGACTGCAGCATGAGAGACTGCATTTTTGGCTTAGTCTCTTGGGCCTAGTGCAAGAGCTCAGTCCAAACCAATGGCTTCTTACAAAATACATTTAATTGAATACTAATTGAATCAATTGCCCTAGCTTCCTTATGGCTCATTAAGGTACGAACAAGGATAGTCCCAAGAAACATTACTTGCTCGGGACCTTCCCAGTTCTGACCAGTCTCCACTCCAGGTAAGGCACTGGTTCCATTTCAAAGAGCCCAGGGAATCAAAATAGGAGTAAGAAGAAAAGGCAGGGCATCATCACTTTTCCTGGAGTCCTTCGCTGCTGACCCACCTCCCTCCTTTGTCCCTATTGGGACCAACAGAGTAGCTATTTGTTTTGGCCTGAATCCTCTTGAGATTAGCTTTAAGGTTCAACTCCTGGGTTCAGACCCACCAACTTGGCTAATATCCTGGGTTCAGACCCTAATTTCACTCAAATCTTAGGTTTAGACTCCAGGTTCACCGTTATTAGCTTTCCCTCCTTTGAGTATGGTTATCTAATCCATCCTATAGTTGAAGGAAGCAGGTTCAGAGATAAATGCCCTCTTACTTCCTTATAGGGTTGTTGAGAGCACTCAGCTAGATAAAATGAGCACACAACAAACTCAGTCCACATGCTTGATAGCATCATTCTCTTGGAGCTGAGCCTAGGCTGCTGACTGCTGTGAATTACAGAGAAGGATTCCTTACTAGTAGACACACATTTCTTCCACACTCTAATGGGAACAAAGTGCACAAATGGCAAAGGTAGTTCCCTGGCCCTGGTGAGATGGGCAGGGGAAAAAGTGTGTTTTCTTTTTTTCTTTTTTCTTTTGCAAGTCCTGGAGCTTGAACTCAGGATCTGGGCACTGTCCCTGAGTTGCTTTTGCTCAAGGCTAGCACTCTACCACTTGAGCCATGGTGCCACTTCCAGCTTTTTCTATTTATGTGGTACTGTGGCATCGAACCCAGGGCTTTGTGCATACTAGGCAAGCACTCTACTACTAAGCCACATTCCCAGCCAGAGAAAGTGGACAAGCTACGAGGCTTCTCAGTCCATGTCCTCATTTGCAGGGGGACAGGTGGGGGTGTGGTGTGATGATCCAGTATGTGGTCTGGGATGCTAGTTTCCTGACCTCTCCTTCTCAGGTCCTGCCTGAGGGGCAGTGCATACCAGCTGGCCTGAGGGGTGGTGGCCTGCCCTTCTTGGATAAGAAAGGAGTAGCTGCGGCCTTTGGGTCCTTGGCCATCTGCCAAGTCACCCTGGGAGACTTCTTCACACCCTCCCTGGTGAAAGAGAGGCCAGTTTGCCTCCTCTCTTCTGTCTTTGTATTTAGTTGACACACGGATACAAGTGGACCCCCAAGGACCAGGGAGCTAGAACCCTAGGTGCAGACCAGAAGGAGCCAGGTGTAGTATGTGCCACATGGCGCTAGGAGGTGACCTAAGTTCTTACCCTCCTTGGTCTTCCCTTTGACAGGGTGCAGCAGAAAGGGCCTGGGTGCCCTTGCCTATGGTCAGGGCAAAACCTGCAGCAAAACCTTACTCACCCTGCTGCAAACTCCCTTTCTCAGGTCCAACTTGCTTGGACTACTCCTTGCTTTTATTTGGTGCTGGTCCTAGACCTTGAAATCAGGCCTAGGCACCATCCCTGAGCCTTATCTGTTCAAGTGCTCCTAGTGCTGTACCACTTGAACCATAACTCCACTTCTGGATTTTATTTGGCGGGGGTGGGGACTGATGGAAGACTTGAACCCTGGATCTCTGTGCTGCGACTCTATCAGGCTGCATCTTAAGGCATAGCCAGTGGCTCCAGGGTGAGATGGGGCAAACCTGACCCCTACATTACTCAGTGTGTCCTCTTCCTATCATTGTCTAGATTGACTGCCAGGTCTCCTGCCAGAGCCTCCTCTCGAGAGAGCCTGGTCTCTTTAAATTTCTCTCCCCAGTCTACTGTCCCCTCTTCCTCTTCCCTTCCCTCTAGCCTCCAGCCATGCATTCTGGGTCAAATGGCCTGAGTGTCAAGCTTCTATTCAATTTCCACTTTTTCAGCAAAGCCCAGGCCTTGGTCCACAGGACTGATCTCTCCAGTGTCCAAGCTTTTGGAGGTCTGTGTCACATAGCTTTAGACTAGCCACTGCCTTCTCACAGTTAGTGTGGCCTCATGTGTGTATCTTGGAAGCTGGAGCAGCCTCAGTGTGGGTGGAACTAATGTGGGTGCTTCCGGGGCCCCTGACCTAGAATCAGAGCTCAGAAGGACTGCCTGAATAGGAGCTGGTTTTCCGCTTCACTCATCCTGGCCTGTGCATTATTGTCCCTACCAGTTAGTTTCCCAGAGAGGCTTGGCAGTCTGGTGAAGGAGTGTGGTTAATCTGCCAGACCGGCCTACATTCCTTCTTACATTCTTTCCTTCCCTTATTCCAGCTGCTTCTTTTCTCTTTTACAATTGCTGCCTCTATTATTGAGGACCCAATCCCCTGTGTACATACATCTAAGCTGGATGACTGCAGTACCTCTGTCCCCAGCAACCATCATTCAGTCACCAGGGGTCGACTGGGGAACTCCAAGTCCCTTGACGCATACTCTCTACCTTTCTGGAAGTCTTCACCTCTACAAGGACTTGAGAGACAGAGGCAATCCTAGGACCTTTTCTAGGAGGCCAGATTCCTCTCACATCTCTTAGCCCCTCCAGCCCCACTCTAACCCCATAGAGTACTCGGGGGAACAGACATTATTACAAGCCAGTACTATTTTTCTAGGTAAGTCTATCCTAAGCACAGGCTCTGGCTAAATGTAACTAAAGGGAGTATCTTAGAGCTCCTTTCCCGAGCAAGGTGAGACCTTTCTTATGGAGCTCCGTTGTTGGGTGCGGTGAGGCTGGGTGGCAGTGGAGAATTGCATGGCGGGGGCAGCCAGCTCCTCTCATTTACCCCCTGTTCTCTTTGTCCTTTCAGGCTGGAGGCCAGTACTGAACCTTGCTGTTCTAGACTGTGCTGAGGAGGTCAACAATGCTGTCTGCAGAGACTTCAACATCCGTGGCTTCCCGACTGTGAGGGTGTGTGTGGCGGGGGAAAGGGGCTGGGGCTGGTTCTGGCCAAGCACAGTGCCCCCTACTCTGTGTTTCCCTGGCATCTGCCTGGGCTGCTGAATTCTGTGGAGCCTGCTACACTTCCAGGCTTGAGTTGTTTAAATCACAGCCCTTAGGACTATCCCTTTGCTTGATGTTCTAGAAATGAAGGCAAAAAAGAAAGAGGCTCATTTGGTGTAGAAAAAAATTCTTCCTTTTTAAAGGAAAGAGCCTAAGGTGGCTGTGTTGGGGTGGACGGATTTCAGATGCTCTAGATTGGACTGTGAAGTGACCATCCCAGCTCCCAAGATTCACTTCTCTCATTCCTGGCCTCCCATGCTTGGAGACACTGCAAGCCTCATCTCACCAGGCAAATGCTCAGAAATGACCTGCAGGCAGAGCCTCACCCTATAGTCCAAATGCCCAGTGCCTCAGGGGGCAGTGATTCCTGGCATGGGCTCCATCACACCTAAGACATGAGGGTTCTGTCAACTTAGCTCTGGCTAGACTCTCTGATACCTTCTCTTCCAGTCTGCCCACTGTGGGGCACCAACAGCTCAGTTAATTAACAAGCGAACAGCTTCCAAGGCTTTCAGGCAGGAGGCCCTTGCATGACTAGAGCAGTAAGAAATGCTCCATTTATGGCAAAGGCCTTCCCAGGGCTCAGGCCTGCCAGAACGGCATCTAGAAAAGCAGTTTCCTATATAGCAACGAGGGAGTAATCAGGAAATCCCTTTGAAAGCTGAAATGCCAAGTATTGTCTTTGGAACAAGACACCTCCAGGCTCAGGGACCTCAAGTTTTATGCATACCCACGCCTGATTACCTCCAACAAATACATCTGGAAAGCAAGGTCCCAGGCTGTCCAAGAGTTGCCAGCTCTGACTCCTGCTGGACTTGGGGGTTCCACAGCTCAGTTAAGACTGTTACCACTTCCGGGTAGAAGGCCAGACTGGTCTGCAGTGAGCCAGCAGCTACTGCTACATCATTCAGAAGTGGCAGCAGAGAGACTGCTTATCAGTAAGCTCTTTAAAATAGAAACTCTTTCTGTCCAAGGACATTGGCCTGTACTGGGCGAGACATGTCACTGAAAGTCTTAAACGGAGCCCCCCTGTTCCTTGGGCTAAGCCAGGGCAGGCAATGCCGAGCAGAAAGTTGTGGGCACAAGATGATAGCTGCTCACCAGTAGATCGTTTTCTCCCATCGAAGTCTGGACATAGGACACCTGCCGCTGCCCAGCCCGTTGGAGGGCTTAGCATTGGTATGGAGGCTAATACCAGGACATCCTGTTGGGATTCTGTAGGGCCCCACACCTGTGGCTTTCTATTCTGTCTGGGAGAAGCTCAGCCTCTGGGTGTGAAGGAAATGGCCCAGGCAGTCACAGGCCAGTGTCTCCTCAGCACCTACTCAGGTCACGCAGCGCACGCAGTCAGGATGCCTCCAGTGATTAATCACCTCCCTACCCACCCAGCTGCTGTGGGAGGGCCCTTAACTGCTCCTCTTGGCTTTCCCCTGCCTCCAGACCGGCAGCACCTGGCTGGGCCAGTCTGGTTGTCAGCTGTCCATTTCTTAAGCTGTCCAGTGTTGTGACCTCCCTCAGCAAAGCCTCTCCAAGGAACCAGCAGAAAGAAAGGCACTCAGTGACCTGTCGTAGGCCGTGCTCAAGCAGTTCAAGTTGTGGATCTCTGGTTGTGCTCCTGAGACATATGCAGTGGCTTTTGAATGGTTTATACCTATAATCTATAGCAAGAAATAGACATTTTACGTTGTGATCTCAGAGCTGGTCTGTATCTATTACTAAACCAAAATATAAAACATTCATTCTTACTGGATATAGTGTACTCTTCTATTTTCTATTCTGGTTTTTTTTTCCTATGATTTGCTAAACTTCTTTGACAAGTGACTACTAGGTTGCTTCTGAGTACTAAAAAGTACTCAAACAGACTTCAGAGATTCTAACCCATTGAAAGTCTAGTATCGATAGTATACCTACGGGCACCTTGGTCCCGATCCCTAGAAAGCATAGTAGATCTTAGAGACCTGCCAGCTGCCAGCAGGCCAGGCAGATGGTTCTGTTGCATGGGCTCCTGTCCCTGCCGGCCAGAGCCTGTCTTTGCTCACCGTACCCATACAGGCCAGGAGAGCCCTAAGGGGAGGACTCGGGGGAAGACTGTTGCCCAGTTCAATGCTGACAGGCCCACACAAGTCTGGCCACCACTATGGACATGTGTCACTTCCCTTTTCTTCTGCCTTTTGCCCCTTGTCACCATGAGCAAAGAGTGAGCTTCCTCCAGCCCAGCCTGTTTAGCAAACACTGGCCCTGAAGGGCAGAGCAGCTGGATCAGGTCACCATCAGACCAGGACATGGTGCTGGAGTTTGACCGAAATAAAACAAAGGCTCCAGGAGGGTAGGGCTTGCTTGCAATAGGTTTTGTCTGAACCTCTGACAAAGGGCTTCTCCCAGGCTGTGGCTGTGCCCCTCAATGCAAGGGGAAAGGAGCTCTTTGCAGGCCTAACCGCACTGAGGATTACATGGAGCCACGGTGTTGGAGAGAGCAAATCTTCCTGTGCCGATTCTGAGGAAACCATTGATGCAGATTCAGATCCTGGCTCTGTTGTTCACTGTCTCTGTGATTTGGGAAGGTACTTAGCCCCCCTCTCACCAGCCCTGGGTCTCAGTTTTCCTGCTCTGTGAAAATGGGGTGCTATCTACCTAACAGGATTGTTGCAGAATGTTAAATGAAGTCATATCTGTGAAGGGGCTGGGGCACTGGTATTAGTTGAGGTCTGGAAAATGACAGTTTTCTTCCTTCTTGTTGCCCCCCTGGGGCTAGTGGCAGCTCCTCCATGTAGGTACATCTGAGGCCACCCATCCAGCAGCAACAACTGAGGGAATATCTTCAGGTCAGCAGGAACACTTGACTCAGGATGTAGAGCTGACCTGCTGGTTGGGCAGCTGGGAGTGATCTGTGTACAGTATGAACCCAGGGCCTCATGCATGCAAGGCAAGCACTCTACCACTGAGCCACCTTCCCAGCTCTGTGTACAGTATGAATGCTGGAGGAGTTGAGCTTTGACTCAGGTAGGATGGAAACTCGAGTGTGTCAAAGGGCAGATGGAGTTTGAGTAGGACAGAGGAGCATGATAGAGAGTTAGACAAAGCCCTATGTGGACAGAGCTGTGGCATGTTGAGCGGACCAGTCCTGTTGGGCATTTCGGGGCAGGAGAAGGAGGAAGCTTAGGGATGGCAGGGCCTTGGAAGGCAGGTACAGAGCCATTGCAAGACGGTGAGATGTGAGGAAAGTGGACAGGACTCAGGAGGATGCCTCCCTCCTGTCTGGAAAAAGGACAGGACGCCCTCGCCACTGTCACCTGCTATCTTCCAGCCATCTTTGGCTATTTACAGCAAGGAAGTAGTTGGGGTTGTCGATCTTTGTGAGCACATCTTGAAGTATTTGGAGGCTGTATTGTTTTCCTCAAAACTTGTCCAAGGAGCTGGAACCCTGGACCATCACTGTGTACTAATGGAAAGTGTATTTTCTGTTCTGTCCAGTCATTTTGGCTCACAGGGCATTAGTTGTTCCATGGGTCGCTTATGAGCTATCTCAGCCCCCATTTGCTTGCTCTTGGCCTCTCAAGAGTGCCAAGGTTGGGGAAGGAAGAAGCACCTGTTCTGTGTCTGTCTTGTGTCCTATCTTGTACCAGGGGATGAAAGGGATCAGATGCTGACTCTTCCTGGGGAAAAGAAGACTCACTTCTGAAGGCTCAGTGGCCTGTTTTCAAGGAGTGTCAGTGCTGCCCTTGGCACACGCCTCCAACAATCCATCAAGAATACATTTTACTAAGAGGACAAAAATGTGCCCTGACTAGATCTCCTCCTGAGCTCCCATGATGATCAAAGGGCAGAGTCTCTGCTGGGTTGAGCAGACATCTGTGGAGTGTCTCCATGTGTTACGCTCTGTGCCAGGCCCAGTATGGCTTATATTGGGTAAATAAGCTATAGTCTGGCTTTCAAGTCTAGCAGGTGGCTGGGTGGCTGGGTGGAAAGTTCAGGGTGAAGTCCATTGTAGCTGTAGACTATGGGGCAGAGGAAAGTGAGTTTGGGTTCATATCTTTGATTTAAAAAACCTCAAGTAACCGGATGCTTGTGGCTCACACCTGTAAACCTAGCTACTCAGGATGCTGAGATCTGAGGATCATGGTTCAAATCCAACCCCAGCAGGAAAGTCCGTGAGATTCTTTGTGCTGTGGCACAAAGTGGTAGAGCACTAGCCTTGACCTGAAGAGCTGAGGGACAGTGCGCAGGCCCAGAGTTCAAGCCCCACAACCAACCACACACACACACACACACACACACACACACACACACACACAAAACCCTCAAGTACAGGGAGTTTGGATCTTTTTCGTGGGCAGTGGTGAGCTATGGAGGCATTTGAGGAAGAGCAACAGAACTGAGTCTTAGTGGCATCTTAGCCTTGGTGGCAAGAAGGAAGATGGTTGAAGAACAAAAGATCCAAAGTATTTAAATTTCTTACTCATGAAGAATGAACGAGTAGGGATGGATAAGTTATCACCTCTTGGCCCTGGCCTGGACCAGGCAAGAGGTAGGAAAGGAGGCAGCTGTTAAAGGAAAGTTGCAAAGGTCAGAGTCATAGAACTTGTCAGCAGACTAGATAAGAGTTGTGGGAGAGGGAGATGCCAGTCTGGGTGTCAGGACTGAACACTGGGTGAGCTACCACACAGGTGCAGGAAGGACTTGGAGGAGGGGTGACTCAGCCTGGGTGTGTGGGGAGGGGTGCCCTGACACCTGTGTGGAGGGCACAGGAGGAGCCAGAAGTCTAGAGTGGGGACCTGAGAATGCAAATCAGCTGGACGATATAGTCGAGTTTGGCAAGGGAGAAACAATATGCTTAGCTCCATTTATTCGCTCATTCATTCATTCAAAAATGGCTAGATGCCAGTGGCTGTGCGAAAGGCATGCAGTTTGAGGCTTCATGGTGGCAGAGGTGTTCTTCTGTCTGAGAGGCAAGTTGAAGTCTGTTTTCTGAGTGCTTAAACAGGACCACAATCACCAAGTTATATTTTGTACTTTTATGATCATTTTTAAAGCTATTAGAATAGCATGATTTAACTAGATCAAGATTTGCTCAATAACTGTAAAGAACACATATAAATATGGGCAGTGTATGTCAGTGAATTGTTTTCACTCATTAATAAAAGGTTATTTTCATGGTTTAAAAAGGGAATGAAGGTGGTTCAGTGGTGGAGCTCTTGCTTTGCACGCATGAGGCCCTGGGTTCGATTCCTCAGCACCACATAAGCAAAAAAGAACAAAGCCGGAAGTGGCACTGTGGCTCAAGTGGTAGAGCACTAGCCTTGAGCTGAAGAGCTGAGAGACAGCACCTAGGCCCAGAGTTCAGGCCCCATGACCGGACCAAAAAAAAAAAAGGGGGGGGGGAGGAATGAAGCCAGGTGCTGGTGGCTCACGCTGAAAACCTAGCTACTCAGGAGCTGAGATCTGAGGACTGCAGTTCAAAGCCAACCCAGGCAAGAAAGCCATGAGATTCTTATCTCCAAGTTAACTACCAAAAAACTAGAAATGGAGCTACTGGGGCAGCAAGGTCAGAGGGAACAAGAGAAGGTTGCACATGGTGTGGCGGGGTGGGGTGGGGGTGGTCTCTGTCTGTTCCTTCGGTGGATAACCAGATCTCTGGTGGATTTTAGTTTTCTGCCTTTCCATGGCTAAAACAAAAAAAAAAAGTACTAGCTGCCAGGCAACAGAGGCTCACACCTGTAATCCTAGCTGCTCATGTGGCTGTGGCTCAAGTGGTAGAGTGTTAGCTGAGCAAAAGGAGCACAGGGACAGTGCCCAGGCCCAGAGTTCAAGCCTCAGGACCGGGGGGGGGGGGTGAAGAATCCTAGCTGATCAGCATTTCCTAGTGTTTCAAAGGTAGGAAGGAGAAAAGAGAATGGATCAGGATGGTGATGGTGATGGTGATGGTGATGTACCTAACACTAATTCCCTGCTATATGTACTGAGTAATGGGCTCCAATTACTTTATATGTATTGGCCATGCAACAACTAAAGGTGGATAGCATCATCCTCATTTTAAAGATGAGAATGCTAAGATTTGGAGAAGTTGACAAAATGTCCAAGGCCACATAGCAAAAGCATAGCAGAGACAGTTCTACCAGAGCCTAAGACCTGCACTCAGCGGCCAGCTTGGGATAAGGCTATTTGAATTGTGCTACTGGAGGCAGAGGCTCAAAGTAGCTAAAAACGGCCCTGAGGTTAGAGGCCTTCGGGAAGAAGGCTGCAGGCTTTTCTCCAAGGTAGTTCAGTGTCTTTCAGAACAACCAACCCTTCCCTCCTAAGGAAGGAATGCACAAGCCGGAGTCCTGGCAGCTTTCTTACTACTAGGACAGAGGCTCAGGTTGTATGTAAGGAGCTGTTGTTTGGTCTCTCTGTCTTCTCACCCCAAGGAGTTGATAGATGAGGCCTGAGGTGTGTGCACAGGAGAAGAGGATGAAGTGATGATGAGTCAAACTGGACAGTCGGTCACAGGCTTGTTTCTGCAGGGCTCAGACCCACCCCTCAACAGTACCTGTTCTCATGCCCTCTCCCTAGGCCGAGTGTTTGCAGTACCAGGCTAGGAGGCCTTGGAGATGGAGATGCTAGCCGCCCACCCCCAAGATAAAGGGCAAAGGCAGATTCACACGAAGGAAAGCTGTTCCATGGGGATATATAAGTGACTTCAGTTCATTTTTCAGATGTATCTGAAAGCCAGCCGCAGTTGTGCACTGAAGAGTTAGCAATGGTTATGAACTAGGCACTAGAGCTTTATGGAAAGAGCCCACTCTAGTAGAGTTATAAACCTCTGCTTGCAGGTTCTGTGGGTGCTTCCGTTTTGTAGAGGAAGCAATTGGATGCCAGAATGAGGAAGGGAGTCAGTGTCCACACCCAAAAGGCTACTTCCCTGACTTCCCTTTTACAGAATGAGAATAAAAGCAAGGAAGTAATTTGCACAAAGTCATCCCAGCTGATCAGCTAGACTTTAAATGCAGGTCCATCTGATACCACCATTGTGCTCTTAACCAGCATGCATTGCTGACTCTGCCTGTGTTTGCTTCCAGTTCTTTAAGGCCTTTTCCAAGAGTGGCTCAGGAGCAGTGTTGCCAGGTGGGTGTCCTGGCTGTGGCTGTCCTGTTGGTATTGTCATCATCTTCCTTTCCCTGCCTCCTCCTTTAGCCTCCAGGGTTTCTACTGGAATGAAGAAAACCCTCTTTACAAGGGTGAGGGATCTCTCTCCAAGGGAAGCATGACATGTTTTTTCCCATTCAGTCTGGGAGATCCCTTAGGAAAGCCAGGTTCAAGAAGCCTTTCATTGTGTCCCATCTGGGTCTTGGGGTGGGGGACAGGGCAATTGTGTTCCCAGAATAGCCTTCATGTCAAAAAAGGAGTTGATGGCAGAGGACAGACCAGATGGCCCCCGGAGAGAGCCTTCGGTGGCTTGGTTTTGAGGGCCTCCTTCCTGCCATCAGGAGGTTGGATCTCCTGGTTTTGCTTTCAATCATAAGGGGAGCCCCGCCCCAACGGCATGTGCTCACTCGTTCTAAGAATTGACTTGGGGCCCCTTGATTCTGGGAGTGAAGTAGACAAGGGTGCTGGAGTCAGCCCTTCTCTCCTGATAGCCCCTCACTGCCTGTTTCATTTACAGTGGCTGGTGCTACCGTGCAGATCCTACGGGAGAGACTCATTGATGCCTTGGAGTCCCACAGCGACACATGGCCCCAGGACTGTCCACCACTGGAGCCTGCCAAGTATTTTGGGGCTGGGGAAGGCTAAGTGCAGCAAACACCAGGGTCCAAAAATGGTGGGAAAAAGAGGATGGGAGCCACTTTGATTCTTTCTGCTGCCTTTGCCTGTGGGCAGACATCTCCATTTGCTGGAATCCAGAGATATTTCAGAGTAGCTGGTGGCAGGTGCTATGGAGCCCTGTTGTCCATTCTTCCAGGTGTGAAGTAAAGTAGGTGAGGCTCTCCGGGTCATGCATACCTGTTTCTGCTTCTCTCCACCGGTCCTTAGGAGCATTTGGAGTACAGCAGGATTTCACATGATCTTAGCCAGGAAAGGCTGCTGACAGCATGAGAATAGGGAGACTGAAGATCAAATGCCATTGAGAGGAAAAGGGGAGTGGCGGGGGAGGGGGAGAAGCAGGGGATGTGTACAGAAATGTAAAGCCCTGCTTCTAACCAAAGGTGGTCATTTTTCTGAGCATCAGCTGGGGAATGGGGTGACCCTCAGCTCCCTGTGTTACAGGGTCAGGTGCAAGTGGCTGGTGGGAAAGTTTTATGACTGTTTTTTTTTTTTGGATTTGTTTTGGCTAGGAAAATAAGGGCAATGAGAGAGATTATAAAGACTAGGCCCCCTTCCACACACACTTGTGAATGAGAACTCTCATGGGTTAAGGCTCACTTCAGGGAATTCCTGCCAAGAAGGAATAAATCCATGAACCAACAGGGCCTGGAGACGAAGCCCAGCTTGAAACACAGCAGAGGGCCCCAGAGCTGGGAAGGCTAAGTGAGGCAGAGGAGGTTGAAGGCTTTGGAAGTTTGTGTGTCAGCATACTTCAAAAGCGATAGCCCTGCTGATTGATCAGATTCACCTGACTTCCTTATTCTTTAGCCAATTCCCTCTCTTCCCAGAGGGCCTTGCAGAGACCCTGGAGTCAGTATATAGTTCTGATGTAATTTGGAGTTCCAAAACCAGACCTCATCTGTATTAGTTTCTTCTATCATTGTGGTACCTGAGAAACAATTTAAAAAAAGAAAGGATTAATTTTGGCTCATGGTTTTAGTACAAGGTTAACTGAATCCATTGCTTTGGGCCTGAGGAAAGGCAGGATATCATCGGGGAAGGAACATAGGATAGACAGAGAGAGAGAGAAAGACAGACAGACAGGCAGGCAGGCAGGCAGGCAGACAGACAGACAGACAGACAGACAGACAGACAGACAGACAGACAGACAGACAGACAGACAGGCAGACAGACAGAGACACCTGAGACAATATTTCCCAAGGATATGCCTCCAGTGTCCTATTTCCTCAAATAGAGATATCAGATATCAGTCTATCAGTAGATTAATCCATTGGTTGGGCCAGAAACCTCATGATCCAATCACCTCTCAGTAATTGGATCCACCAGCTGGAGACCAGGCTTTGGACATGAAAGCCTCTTTTGGGAGTATACTACATATACAAACCATCAACACAGTCTCCCCAGGAAAATCCCCATGCCAAGCTGTGCTCTGGTTCTTCCTTGTTCCTTTGTCTCCATCTCTCACACATACGAATGCCCCTCGTGGGGTTTATTTCCAGCCCTGAGGATCTCAAAAACAACAAATTGGTCAAATCTGCCAACCCCTTTCAAAGTGATCCTTTTAAAACTGCTTGAGAAGGAGGCAGAGGTGTGTGATGAAAGGTAAGCTATTGCTCCCTAAGAGCTGAGGACTTGCTCTTTGGCTGCGTAGGGCAGGTCTGAAGAAGTAGTCTGAGAGAGACACACTGCATACCTCCCCCACTCCTACCCCCAGAGAGAGGCTGGTTTATCCATGATACCTTTTATCCACCCAGTGAAGCTCAGCCTGACCCCCGCCTCTCTGGCATGTTCATTCATGCACATGAATTCATGCACATCAACATTTTCTATTTGGAGGTGCTCACTGCCATGTCTTTGGGTCTAATCAGCAGAAATGAGACATCACGTAGGCGATTAAAAAAAAAAGAAAAAAGATCCGGTCTCCTTTGACCTCTGGGTCTTCTTTCCTGCCAGCCTCCTAAGATGTGTGAGATGTGTAGTTTTAACTGGAATAAGGAAAGAAATTATTCTGTATTATTTCCTATTGAAACCTTGACCTTTTAAAACAATTTATACTTTAATTTTCTGGCTAGGAGAGTGGATGTGAATTTTTAGTTATTTCTACCTAAGAAAACAGGGCCTCATTTTCTTCATCTTAAACCAAGGAGGTTAAATTCTAGTTTCTAAAGACTCCTGTACCTGGTCCTCACTGGCTCTTTGTTTTCCTTTTGTGCCTATTCTGAGATGAAATTGCAGCTCTCCCAGTTGGTGGTGACTTGCTGCAGATTAGGACTTGACTTTGGTGGGTTCTCATCATCAGTTTCTTAGGAAACCAATAAAGCCATCTTCAGTAAGGAACATGGAGAGAGCTAGTACAAAGCAGCATCCCTACCACATCTCCTCCCCAGCCTGTTTCCTGCCCAGTCCTGACTCCTAAAAGAGTGACAAAGAAAAACAGTGCAAACAAACAAAAAAACCCAAGGTGGGTCAGATGAAGAAGCAGGGTTAGGTAGCATCCTCAGAGAATGAGGGTTTGGTTTTTCCCCACTAGAGAGAGGACTGGTAGAGGGAGACCACAGAGGCACATGACAACATGCCTGAACTTGCAGTACCAAGTGCTGAGTACTTTGCCTCATCCCACTAGCTGTGGAAAGTAACCTCAGACATGTCTCTTACAGGCTGGAGGAGATCATTGGATTCTTTCCAAGGAGTAACGAAGAGTACCTCGCTCTGATCTTTGAAAAGGAAGGCTCCTACCTGGGTAGAGAGGTGAGCTACTTCCCCTTCCCCCCTACCCTGGGATGGCCACTGGGAGAGACCCCGTTCAATAGCAGGCTTTTTGAGTTTGTTTGTTTGTGTGTTGGCACTGGTTAGCATCTTGTCCCTGTACATTACTTAGCTTGGCACTGCCTGACCCCTTCTGGGGACATGTGAAATATGGAGTTGGACTTTAAAATCTTTCTCCCTGAAGCCAAAAGTAATACCAGCTTATTGTTGAGTTAGCCCTAGGCACATACATGGCTGCTAATCCCTATAGGGGTCATCAGATAATGCCTAGGATCATGCAGCTAGTAAAGTGGAAAAGAACTCTGACCCAGGACTGACTGGGTTCAAAGCCCATGTCGTGTCCACACTACTCTACTGCACAGAATTGGAGTAAGAACGTAAAGGATGACCCAGTCCCTCATGGCCAGCGATGCACATTGGACTTCCATTCTATCATTCCATATGTCTTTGGTCAAGTTGTCCGACTTTTCCGAGTCTCATTTCCCTGGCTATGGAGTAGTAACAGTTACGTTTCTTTATAGTATTGCTGGCAGGTTGTCCAGTGGGACAATCTACAGTAGAAGGTCTGGATTTGCTGCTGGCACATAGAAGGTGCTTCATAAAGATCCACCTCATTGTTTAATAGAGAGAGAGCACCCACTGTGGTGGGTGCAGAGTGGGAGGTGGCTTAAGTCAGTGCAGAGAAGAGACATCTCAGGGGGTAAAGCTAAAACCACTCTGGACATAGCATTTTCCTGTTGACACACAAGTAGCCCCCACAGCTTGGGTGAGGCCTGTCACCTGGAGGTGACTGGTAAACGCTGATTGGGAAAATGATCTGCTCTGCCTCAACTTCCTCAGCTACAAAATGGTTTTATTATTTTTATTTTTTATTTTATTTATTTATTTTTTGGTCCGGTTGTGGGGCCTGAACTCTGGGCCTAGGTGTTGTCCTTCAGCACTTCAGCTCAAGACTAGCGCTCTACTACTGAGCCACAGCGCCACGTCCGGCTTTTTGCTTATGTGGTGCTGAGAAATTGAACCCAGGGCCTCAAGCATGCAAGGCAAGCACTCTTATCACTGAGCCACCTTCCCAGCCCCGTATTTTTAATAAATACTTATCTACCTACATGTGCTGGTTATTATTACATCTATTTTTATAAAATTAACCCTTGTAATCCTCATAACTATCCTCTGAGACTGGTATGATTGTTTTAGCTTTCCTTTTCTTTTTCTACTCATCTTGGGGCTTGAACTCAGGGCCTGGACTCTCTCTCTGAACTTTTTTGCTCAAGGCTAGTGCTCTTCCACTTGAGTCACAGCTTCCCTTCTGGCTTTTTTGTGCTTAATTGGAAATAAGCATCTCATGAACTTTCCTGTTTGGGCTGGCTTCAAACCTTGATCTCAGATCTTAAGACTCCAGAGTAGCTAGGATTACAGGTGTGAGCCACCAGTGCCCAGCCTCTTTTTTTTTTTTTTTTTTCAAGCAAAGAAATGGAGTCAAGAGAGCTTTCATCCTGTGGCTCTTGGGTGGTTGTGGACCCTGTTACCTGTGGGTTGGTGGCACAAGAGTCTCGTTCTTCATGACAGTCTTCACAGACCACAGCTGCCACCATGGGGCCTGCCCAGCCCTGTTCTAGGACCCAACCCCTGGCTCCCTCTGCCCAGAGGCTTAGCCTCCAAACATCCTGCTGTCTCTGCAGGTAATTCTGGACCTGTCTCAGTATCATGGCCTGGCTGTGCGCAGGGTCTTGGACACAGAGGACTACGTAGTGGCCAAGTTTGGTGTCTCTGACTTCCCATCGTGCTACCTGATGTCTCGGAATGGCTCTGTCGCTCGAGTCCCTGTGTGAGTGCGCTGTCTCCCCGCTTTCTTTTCTCTCCCTGTGCGCATCCTACCTAGAAAGGCCATCGTCCTGGCAGGTAGGTTCACCCTAGAGATTCTTCTGAGGACAGGTGGAGCACCCCTCCAGGAGAAGCAGAGTTCTGTGTCTCTGTAGGACAGCTCAGTGGTCCTGCATTAGCTCTGACCATTCATTCCTACACCATCCACACCCAGACCTACCCCACCCTCCTCTGTTCATAGACAGACTCATTGGCAGGCTGTAGGCCTGGCAAGGACTCAGATATGCCTGACCCTCCCTCCCTTTGGTTTTCTAATTGCAGAAAAGTTCATTAAGAGCCAGACAATAGCCTGTTCCAAAATGCCAAGAGAAAACAATCAGGCCAGCCTCAGCCCCTCTGTCAGCCTCCTGCTGCTGAATGGCCTGTTAAATGGCGCCAGATGGTGCCTCGGTGCCCTCCCTGGGCAGATGATTGATATCAGCCTGGCCCTGCATGCAGTTGAGGGCCAGGGATATCAAGGCTCGTCTGAAGTGCCCAATGAGCTGCTCCTCCGGGCCACATGAGATTGAAACTGGACAGAGTGGCCACTCGCCCTTGCCCTGGCAAGATCACCAGGTGGCCCTGGGACAGACCTGTCAGAGTCAGGAAGCATGATGGCCCCAGGGGGAGGGGGAGGGCTCACTTTCAGGCTGGCCCTGAAAGTGCCAGTCCTGGTGGGAAGAAAAGGTATTGTTTTCTCACTTGGAATTGGTGGAGGGGAAAATGGTTTGTGACGATGCCACTCCTGAGCCATCTGCTCATCAGTAAACACTGGGCCAGGACCGCAGAGGGGAAAGCAAGGTTTCCTGATACCAGTCCCCCTGGGGCCTCCTGTCACTGCTGCTGGGTTTGGCCTCTCTGTCTCAGGTGGCTGGAACCTGGGGAGTAAGAAGGAGTTTGTGTTCAGGGGACATTTCTTGCCCGCCCTTGAGCACTCCTGTATCAGAATAGAGAAAAGAGAAGTCAGAGGATTGTGATCATCCTAGTGTTTCTTTGCTATTTATGCTTTTTTTTTCCCCCAGTACTGGGGTTTGAACTCATGGCTTTGTGCTTGCTAACGTAGTATTCTACCACTTGAGTCATATCCCCACACTTTTCTCTTCCTTTAGTTATTTTTCAAATAGGGTCTTGTGTTGATACATGGACTGTGATCCTCCTGTTTACACTTCCCACATAGCTGCAATGGCAGGTATGTACCATCATGCCCAGCTTCATTGGTTGAGATGGAATCCCTTGAACTTTTTGACCAGGCTGGTCTTGAACCTTGATCTGCCTGATCTCTGCCTCCTAACTAGTTCGGATTACCACTGTGAATCACTTGTGCTTGCCATGATATCTACTTTTCTTAAAAGTCACACACCAAACACCCTTGACTTCCGTGGGAAGTAATGTCATCTGTGATACACTGAAGCAAGCTTGTCGGTGGGAAACTGTCATGAGCTCAGCCACCTTTTGAAGCTTTGGGTCTGTAAGGAAAGTGTTCAGATCTACCCGTTCTTGTCCATGAGCAGATTAGTGTGTGTGTGTGTGGAGGAGTGAGTGTGTGTGTGTAGGTAGGTACTAGAGATTGAACTTAAGGCCTTTTGCATTCTAGGCAAGGGCTGTACCAGTTGAGCTACACCCTCAGACCGGATGTTTCTTGATAAGCCTTTCTGGTAGAGGGGCCACCCTTTTCAACATTGCTCAGCTTTTTGTCCTTTGTACCTACTGACTCCCTGTGCTCTCTTTCCTCACAGGCTGGTAGAATCCAGGTCTTTCTATACCTCCTATCTGCAGAGGCTCGCTGGGATCACCAGGGAGGCGTCCCCCACCACAGCTCAGCCAGCCGTTACAGACAACGTAGCGCCCACAGTGTGGAAATTGGCAGATCGGTAAGGCCACATCAGTTTTCCATGTCCCGCCCCACTCCCATCCCTCCTCTGGTCACAGACCACACCTTCACTTCCACACTTGCTCGTTCCTATTCTTGTCACAGGTGTATCTGTGTACTGAGTCTAGACATTTCTACTCCTAAGACCAAGGATAACCTTGGACAGCTGTCCGTGTTTACAGGGTCTTGCTATGTGGGAGCACAGAGATTAGTGGGTGGCCTTTCTGGTGTCTGTGCTGGACCCCAGTGTGAAATGTGGGACCCCTGAATAAGTAGCATGTCACATTACCCACCATGATGGAAGGAATGCTGTCCAGTGCCCACACCTCCTAAACTTCACCCTACTCAAGAACAAATAGAAGCTGGGTGTGTTGGTTCACACCTATAGTCCATAATCCCAGCACTCAGGAGGCAGAGGCCAAGGCAGAAGGACTTTAGTTTGAGGCCAGCCTTGGCTACATAGTATGAGACCCTGTCTCAAAACAAAAATAAAACCAAAAACTGGAAGAAAAAAGAACAAATACATTCAGCTCAGAGCAATGATAAGGAGATTGCTCATAAATCATGGGAGAAAGAAATTGAGGTGGGAGCCGGGCGCTGGTGGCTCACGCCTGTAATCCTAGCTACTCAGGAGGCTGAGATCTGATGATCGCGGTTCAAAGCCAGCCCAGGCAAGAGAGACCGTAAGACTCCTACCTCCAATAAACCACCAGAAAACCGGAAGTGGCGCTGTAGCTCAAGTGGTAGAGCGCTCGCCTTGAGCTGAAGAGCTGAGGGACAGTGCCCAGGCCCAGACCAACAAAAAAAAAAAAAGAATTGAGTTGGGAACGATCATTATGATCATCCAGTTTATTATAATTACCTCCAATCCTCGTGGGACTACTATTTTTTTGTGGGAGGCACTTAAGCCATGCCCCTGCCCCTTTGGTTATTTTATTTGGGGGAGCAGTACTCAGGATTGAACTTAAGGCAGGCACTTTCCCACTTAGGCCACTCTTCCACCCTGGCTTTTTGCTATTATTTTAGAAATGGAATCTCCCAGACCTTTCTGCCTGGGCTAGCTTCAAGCTTCAATTCACCAATGTCAGCCTCCTGAGTATCTAAAATTACAGGTATAAGCCACTGCACTTGGCTAAAAGGCTCATTCTTGAGGCATAACACCAAAGTGCAGGGGTAAACTGAGGCCCACAGACACCAGAGTAGGGAACAGAAGGAGATTTTGCCTGAGAGCAGAGCAACTTTGTGGACTGGCCTTGCTGAAGGTAGATAGGACAGAATGATGAGGAGATTTCACAAAGAAAACTGAGGCCCTGGGAGGTAAGCTGATTTGCTTAAGCTCCTGTGGTACTGACTAGAGCTCAGTTCTAGGGAGCAGGGGAAGAGAAGCAGCCAACATTCAAGGCTGTTTCCATCAGAGCCCTGAGCCCCTAGGGGAGCACAAAGGGCAGGAGTTGATGACGCCAAAGGGGGCCCCACCTGAGGCATGAAAGAAATAGAAAGTTTTTGCCCTGCACATCTGCCATCTCAGTCCCCAGCCTTAGTAGATGGTTAAACCCGTGACCTTTCATTTCACACAGGACCAGCATTTCCAGTATTCCTTGTGTGTGTGTATATGTGTGTGTATACATACACATGCTTGTTCTTAGCAGTCTTTAATAACAACAGAATGAAACTTAACCTAACACTAGTGACCTGCTGAGTGAGGAGCGAGTCACAGGATTGATAGGCTGTGGGCCTGGACAGGACAAACCCCCTACTTCCTCCAGGAGCTGCTGGTGGGTGTGCTAAATAAAGCTCTGCTTTATTTAGTCCTCTCAGCAAAGCTGTCTGTGAGCACTGGATTATTCCTATTGTACATACAAGGAATTGGGGCCCACAGAAGTTAAGTTATGCATCCAAGGTGACTCGCCAAACTACTAGCAGAGCCAAGTGCTAACATACAGTACTCTGCACGTGAGAAGTGCCCTTCCTCTTCTCTCCCTTAAGCCCTGAGTGCCTCTCCCCAGCCCTAACCCTGCAGTCAGTGTCCTTTTTTCCTCTTGTTTCTCTCTCGGTCCATCAGCTCCAAGATCTACATGATGGACCTGGAGTCTGCACTACACTATATCCTGCGAGTAGAAGTGGGCAAGTTCTCCATCCTGGAAGGGCAGCGCCTGATAGCCCTGAAAAATTTTGTGGCAGTTTTGGCCAAGGTGAGTATTAAGACCATAGCGTTGTCATTGCAATTTCACACAGGATGGGTGTGCTTCCTGGAAGCCTCATACTATACCAGCTCCACTTACCTGGAACACGGCCTCTGGCTGGACACTTAGATCCACAGTTGTTCCCATCTGCCATGGACTGGTTCCCTCCTCCTGCAGCCCTGGGGGGTGCCAGTCCATACTGCTAAGCATAAACCCCCTGTGCAGGAGGGTGGGTTAGACACAGGGCCAGAACCCCTGACATCTGGACATCTTCCCAGCTGGTTCCTGGCCATCACTCTGCTCTCCTGACTGAGTTCACCCATCCCAGACTATGGCTTCTCACTCCCTGTCATGGTCATTGGAGAAGCAGGACCCTGGAGACCACAGTGAAGAGGACACTCTTCTGAAACTTCTGTCTCCCCTCCCAATCTGATCCTGATCCCTGGCCCAACCCTGCCTGCCTTACTTCTTGGTCTTTCCTGAGAAAGGCTGCTCTTTGGAATGGAGCTCCTACTTTTGAGGAGCTGGCATTTGTCAGGAGTTGATTCTCTTACTACTCTACAAGGTGACAAGTAGAGTCCCATTTAAGGGGCCCAGATGGCTGTCTAGGGGCACACATTACTTGCCTTAGGTCTTCTAGAAGAATTGGACCACAGAGCCTGTGCTTTTTTTTTTTTTTCCTTTGTTGTGAGTCTTGGGGCCTGAACTTGGCCCATGCACTATCCTTGAGCTTTATTCCACTCAAGGCTAGTATTCTACCATTTTGAGCCCCAGTGCCACTTCCAATTTTCTGGTGGTTAATTGGATATAAGCGTCTCATGGATTTTCCTGCCTGAGCTGGCTTCACATTGTGATCCTCAGATCTCAGCCTCCTGAGTAGCTAAGAATACATTTGTGAGCCACCAGCGCTCCGCAGAACCTGTGCTTTTTTTTTAATCTTTGCCACAGCCCTTCTCTGAGTGGGGATCTGGCTACCTCTCCCTTGCCACCCTCCTCCTGTACCAGAGCCACTGGCCACACCCGGCAGGCAGAGGCTGCTGCTGAGTGCTACAGGGTCAGCTGCAGGTGGGCTGCAGTGGTCCCCTGGGGGCTGCCTGTACAGTCGGCTTCCCTCTATGTGCCCTTCTCAGCAAGGCTGGTCTCCAGAAACTTTCTGCATCTGTCCTATGTCTCGACTCTACCCAGTCCTACCCTTCCTGGCCCTCTCAGTTTTGACTGTGTCTAAATACCCCCTGGGAGAGAAGTTGCAGTCTTCTTCTCCTCTTGGAAGTGTTGACGGATAAGCTGCTGACGGGATGAAGACCTCCTTTCCTCTGAGGCCTGGGAGTGGTGAGGCCTTGGAAACCCAAGGGAAAATAAGTCCAGAGCAAGTCCTTGCTATCTCCCTGCCAGCATGCTTTCCCAGCAGGGCTCAGGAGACGAGGACACATGCTGTACTGGGTGAGCGGCCGCCCCGCACAGTGGTTTCTGTGTGCTACTTGTAGCTCTCGGCTGTATGCAAGCTTGGATTTGGGGTGAGGTTGTTTTTGCTCCCCCTCATGGGGCTATGTGCATCCCATATGAGGGGCGAAACCCAGAAAGTGCTTGTGTTGGGGAGGGGTCGAAGCAGCACCCTCTGTGTTGTGCTCAGTGCCACCTGCAGCAAGGGCTGCAACAAGGTGGCCTCCACCAGGCCGAGGCCCTTTAAAAGGACAGGGGGAGGCCAGCCAGGGCCAACCCTCAGCGGAATAAATGGGATAGCGGAATAGTCAGGATGCTGGGGCCCCTCTGGCTGACCTTTGCCAGCCCATCACCCAGTATTCTGACCCTACCCTTGCTGGGGTAGTTTCTCCCTAGAGGGTGATAAGATTCTCACCCACCTCACCCTCGCTCTTTACCACTAGAGGGCTCCTTGCGGGCTGGGCCTGCTCACTCTGCCAGTCCAGCCTCATGTGAGCAGCTGGAAAGACTGACCACTAGGTGGCGTGTAGTCACCAGAGTTTCCCCCGACTTCCAGCCATCCAGAGCCCTAGAATATATTGTTCCTTCTGACAGGATGGCCTTAGAAGGCCTAAGGTGCCAGCTCAGGACCACAGGAGAAAGTCAGTGAGAAATGCTGACTTTAAGCTGTAAATCTGTATGTGAGCTAACAGGGAAGGAGGAAACTGAAGCTCAATTCTAGAAAGCACTTGGCACTCTGGGGGAGTGGGTCCAGGCTCTGAGGTTTGATAAAAATATTTAATGAGCCTGGCACCAGAGGCTCACGCCTGTAATCCTAGCTACTCAGGAGGCTGAGATCTGAGGATCATAATTCGAAGCCAACCCTGGCAGAAAGACTCTCTGTGATACTCTTATCTCCAGTTAACCGCTCGAAAAACAGAAGTGGAGGTGTGGCTCAAATGGTAGAACGTTAGCCTTTAGCACAGAGGGGCTCGGGGATAGCACCCAGGCTCTGAGTATAAGCCCCACAACTGACAAAAAAAAGGGGAAAAAAAAGGCTTTTTCAGAGGACTGGATCTGGTAGCCTGCTTTCCCTATTCAGTCATTTTTATATCTCCAGGATCCTTCTTCTCTCAAACATTTGTGTGTGTGTGTGTGTATGTGCACACACACATGTGTGCACACATGTGTGTGTGAGCATGCCCCTTTATTTCTGGCTTTGTTTTCTGGCTAATTGGAGAGAATCATCTTATGGACTTTTTTTCTTTTTTGTTTTGGTCTTAAACTCAGGGCCTTGGCACTGTCCCTGAGCTTTTTTGCTTAAGGTTAGCAATCTACTATATAGGCCACAGCTCCACTTCCAGCTTTTTGGTGCTTAATTGGAGATAAGAGTCTCATGGACCTTGCTGCCTGGGCTGGCTTTAAACCTTGTTTCTCAGATCTCTTCTCCTGAGTAGCTAGGATTACAGGTCTGACTCACCAGTCCTTAACTCAATGTTTTTTGTTTTTGTTTTTAAACTGTGCCAACTTTTCAGCTTGAACTCAGAGCCTTTTTTTTTTTCTTCAAGGCTAATGCTCTTCTACTTGAGCCACAGCTCCACTTCTGACTGTTTGGTGCTAATTGGAAATAAGAGTCTTATAGACATTACTACCTAGGCTGGCTTTGAACTTCGATCTTCAGATCTCAGCCTCCTGAATAGCTAAGGTTATAGGGGTGAGCAGTGGTACCCAACTTTTCAAAACAGTTTTTTTTTCTCCTTTCTCTGTAATTTTCTCAGGGTCACTATCCTCCTCCATTGCCTCTTCATGGTTGTAACTTCCCTGCTCTGTTGCTACGCCCTCTTCCTCCCCACCCCCACTCCTACCCATGTGCATTTGCGCATGCACACATGTGCACATGCACATATATCCTCCTCCCTGGAGTCCTTGTGGTTTTAAAGTGCTGATACTAATCAGATTTGAGTTGACTTATTGTCAAAGTAGCTTTTCATGTTCCTCTGAGACTGTTAGGGTTACCATCAAGATTTGGATGTTGGCTGTAAGCCCCTTAGCCGGCCTGGCCCTCCTGGTAGTCCATGAATACAAATGCAAGGCCTTTTCCAGCTAGCCAGCTGCTCCCATCAGAAGACTACATGAAGAGCAGCCCTGGGGGATGGCCGGGAGGCAGGCCTTCCTCTAAGTGGTGGCATGTGATGGTCCAGGTTAGCACGAGAGCTTAGTCTTAAGGGAAGAAACCTTTGGGGCACTACCCGCACTTAGTCTCCTCCTCCCCCTACCCTTTCCCCTTGGCTTACCAGATTCCAAGAGCAAAGGCCGTGAGAAGCTCACAGCTGTGCCTTAGGCAGTATATTTTCTTTTTTCTTTCTTTTTTTTTTGGGGGGGGGTCCGGTCGTGGGGCCTGAACTCTGGGCCTGGGCGCTGTCCCTCAGCTCTTCAGCTCAAAGCTAGCACTCTACCACTTGAGCCACAGCACCACTTCCGGCTTTTTTTCTTTTTGCTTATGTGGTGCTGAGGAATCGAACCCAGGGCCTCATGCATGCAAGGCAAGCGCTCTACCACTGAGCCACTTTCCCAGCCCCAGGCAGAATATTTTTCTAGTGGTTTTGGAACATTCTAGAGAACTTGCCTTGGACCACCCTTGCTCCTGTTCTCTGTAGGATGCTGAGAGGGCAGAATTGCTTTTCACTCTTCAACTTCCTCTTGTTCCTTCCCACAGTACTTTCCTGGCCAGCCTCTGGTCCAGAACTTTCTGCACTCTGTAAGTGATTGGTTTATGAAGCAGCAGAGAAGGAAAATTCCCTACAATTTCTTTAAAATTGCTCTGGACAGCAGGAGAGAGGTGAGTCCGGGAGACAGATGAAGATCTCACCATCTTAACATTTAAGGGAATGGAAGGGGTTAACGCTGTAATCTCCAGCCTCCTTCAAGTTGCATTTGGGAAGCAGAGAGCTCATTCCATTAATAGTTACTAAACTGCTACTAAGCTCTGTGTGCATATCACTTTTTTAAATTTTGTGTGAGTCATGGGGCTTGAACTCAGGGCATGGGCACTGTCCCTGAGCTTTTGCTCTCAATGCTGGTACTCTACCACTTTGAGCCAGCGTACCACTTTTATCCTCATAAATGAACAGCAGCTAGATACTATCCTCATTTAGTAGATGAAGAAACTGAGGGTAGGAGAGGTTAACTAACAGATCTGTGAGCATATAGTCCTGTTTGTACAAATTTCTTTAAGTGTATAGACTTGTTCTCACACATCTACTCATCTGTTCAAAGCTTGAAAGTCTTTAGAGACCAGCCCCTCATTTCACAGGAGGTGAGGTTAGAATGAGGCGTCCTGTTGACCCCTTGGTGGATGATGCTTTGGGAAGTTAGGCTGAGCCCTAAGGTTGCAGGGCTGTGAGTTGACTGTGGCATCTCCGGGCAACTTCTCTCATCACTTCCTTTCCCACAACTGTTTCCCTTCTGTTGTGCACTTACTCTCCCGTGTGTCCTTTAGGACTCCGTTCTTCCTGAGAAGGTGCACTGGGTTGGCTGCCAGGGCAGCCAACCACATCTCCGAGGCTTTCCTTGCTCGCTGTGGGTCCTCTTCCACACCCTCACTGTGCAGGCAAGTCAGCAGAGTGCAGACCACTCACGTGAGCCAGGTAAGTCCCGCTGGTTTCACCGACCACCATCATGACCATGCAACATGGGCAAGATGGCTCCCTGCCGCATACATTTAGGGATGGGTGAGACAGCACAGGCTGGAGGCTCAGATGACAGACGTTAGCGCTCTCACAGTTCCGGAACCTTGAAACCCAAGATGGAAGCGTGGCGGGGTTGGTCCCTGAGTAAAGGACCACATTTACTTACTCTGGCTCTTCACCAAGTCTTGCCTCTGTCCAAACTTTCTCCTTGATGAGGAAACCAGTCATGGTTACTTTTAAGGCCCTGTCCCAAAGATAGCCATCTTCTGAGGTACTGAGAGTTAGGTCTTGAGCATGGGCATTTTGAAGGGACACAAATCAGCCCATAAAATAGGCCAAGGCCACCAGATGCAGAGAACCAGCACTGTGGCTGGTCCTGGTGGGGAGGGAAGTGAAGCTAGAGAGAAGGCAGGTAGAAGAGGCGGAGGCACACTAGCCCGAGGGCCTTGCTGAGGGATGGGTATACATCTCACATTTGTGTTATGAGAAACGCCTTGTTTCACAGAGGAGTAAAGCAAGTGATTATTTAGAAAGGCTGCTGGGTAGAGGGTGGTCTTCTTCGGGTAAGGAGAGGCAGGAAAGCCAATCAGGAAGCTGGAGAAATAGTTCAGAAGTGATAGAAGTGAGCCTATGGAGGAAGTGGTCAGGAGGACCGGGGTTTAGGAATTTGGGAGGAAAAAAGGTCACCTCTAAGATGACCCCTGAGAGGGAGCCGTTGGCCTGGGGACACAAGGCCCTCGTCACAGGGTGATGAGGAGGATGTGAGGCATTTGTGCAGGCGTGGCCGCAGCAGAGCTGGGAAGGGCAGGCTGACCTGTGGAGGGGATGAAGGTAGAGCCTGCGGGCCGGGCAGCCTGTAGGGTCTCTGTGACAGTGGCTCCTCCCCTTGTAGCCAATGGCCAGGAGGTCCTCCAAGCCATCCGGAACTACGTGCGCTACTTCTTCGGCTGCCGAGAGTGCGCGGGCCACTTTGAGCAAATGGCTGCCGCCTCTATGCACAAGGTGGGAAGTCCGAATGATGCGGTTCTCTGGCTCTGGACGAGCCACAACAAGGTCAATGCTCGCCTCGCAGGTAAAGGAATGCGTCCGGCGTAGTTCCAGAACTTGTCCAGTGCCCCAGTCTACCTGTCCCCCGCTCCTCCCCACGGCCTGCCCTGTCCAGCCTACCCCACAGGGAGAGGGGTCCACCTGTGGAATTGCAACAGCTGGGAACTCTCGTCCCTTTAGTCAACACAAGTAAAATCTCAGAAAAATGTGAGGGGGGAGAAAAGGGCCAACACCGTAGACCCGCCGGCCTGCAGTGCAGTTCGTTCCGTGTCTTCCTACTCCTGCCATGGCAGGTTCTGGGATGCAAAGTCAGCTTTCCCCTGCACAAGTTCCTGCAGCCAGCGGGCCGGGTGGGGTGGAGTGCAGGCCTGCAGTGCCAGGCTCTGGGCAAGTTCTATGTATCTCTTGGAGGAGGGAGGTCTGAGTTCCTTCACAGACCTGGAGAGCCCCAGCCAGGCTGTGTGTGCTTCCCTCTCCAGGTGCCCCCAGTGAAGACCCCCAGTTTCCCAAGATACAGTGGCCACCGCGTGAACTCTGCTCTACCTGCCACAATGAGCTCAATGGGGCGCCGGTGTGGGACGTGGACGCCACCCTCGGCTTCCTCAAGGACCACTTCTCCTCGAGAAACATCGTCCTGGACTCCCCTACAGCTGGGCTGGCCCACCAGAGGGGTGTGCAGAGCTTTACCAATACCCCGAAGCTGGTGATGGGCGCGTGGAAACTGCCGACCAGAATTTCAGCTCTGGGCCTTCAGCAGGCTGGTACCGCAGGGTCCCCCAGACCTGAGGCAAGTGGCCCCCAGGATCTGTACCCAAGCCTCGGAATGACTAGACCTGTGCCAGGGCAGGGGAAGGCTGAGCATGTGAGAGAGCTTCAGAGGGACGTAGCCGAGCAGCTCCAGGGCCAGCGACACTTGAGCAAGCGAGACACAGGGGCCCTATTGCTTGCTGAGTCCTGGGCTGAGGTGAGCCACCTCCAAGGCCCGCTAGGGGGCCATGGCTCCAAGCAGCTGGCTAGCAGACCTGGGGGGGAGCCAGCGGTGCGGGGCCAAGGCCATTGGCTACGAGTGCTGGGAGGGGGCTTCTCCCACCTGGATGTCAGCCTTTGTGTGGGGCTCTATTCCCTGTCCTTCATGGGCCTGTTGGCTGTGTACACCTATTTCCGGGCCAGGATGAGGGCCCTAAAAGGCCATGCTGGTCACCCTGTGGCTTGAACTGTCCAACTTGGAAGAGGGTGGGGAAGGGAGCTGCTGTCCGTGGGGCTCTTCCAGCCCCTTGCCTCGCCTCCACCCTTTCCCCCTTATCCAGCCTAGCAGAGTGAGAAGACCAGGAAAGCCAGTTGCTCTAGTGAACCCTTGATTGTGCCAGGAAGGAGAGTCCCATAGACAAAAGACCAGTATTTGGACCAGCAGTTGAGGGGAACAGGGGAGAATTGGGCCCTGGTCTCTCAGCACCAAATTCCTGTTTTTCAGCTTATCTGAAGTCCTGCCCCATTCTTGCCGAAGCCTCCGTCTGGCCTGATTAGTCTTGGCTCTAAATTGGAGCACGCAAGCTCAGAATTCCCAAGGCTTCTTACCCAGAGAAGGATCCCAGGCTGGGTGGGCTTCAGTGACCCTCCTCTCTACATCCCAGGGCTCCGCCTGTCCCTGGCTCCTTTTGGTCATGAGGTGGTCTTTGAAGAGGAAGAGTCACTTCTGGCCTGCCTAACCTCCCTCTCAGACCTGTGTGGGGTTTGGCTTTAGGGAGAAGGGGGGTTCTGGAATCTTCTGGAAATCATTTTCATCTCCTGGATGAGGTTAAGGTGAAAGTTTCTGCTGCACTAGTGTCTTGGGTGGGTGTGGACTTGCCCGGATGGCAGTCGCCGGGCTGTGGGTTTGGCTTGCTTGGCGGGTGAAGGGGCGGAGTGTGGGAAGCATGCTGGGCTGGGCCGTGCCATGGCTGTGGGCTCAACCGGAAGGGGTACAGTGAGAAGGATGTGCTTTGCCTTCTCCCCACGGGGCTCCTTCCTCTGAGCTGGGTCTTCTGGCTTTTGTTTTGCTCTCCTAAATCAGTGCTAGGACGTGGAGGGTGCGGGTGGATGGCAGTCAGGAGTGTCCTCTCGCTCGAGATTCCATTTCCGGGAGAGGCCCTGGGTCTAAGGGGCAGACAACGCTGTATATGTGCTTGGTTCCACCCTGTCCCCACTAGGGAGGGACGTGGAATAAATTATTTTTGTTAAGGCAAGCACCTGTGTGTTCTTTAACTGGTTCCTTGGAAACCTAGTGTCAAGGTTTGGACACAGCATGCAGCATCCAGCCTCCCCTAGGTGGGAACTTCCGGTCCCCTCCCCACTGCCCCACAGGGCTCTGCCCCAGCCTTCAGTTTCTATATGCAATGGCCACTGACTTTGTGATATGTGGCCTTGCCACCCAGCTCTCCCCATCTCCCCAGGACTCCTGCCTGAGCCTGTCTGGAGAAGCCATCTGCACCTTCAGGCCTCTGTTCTTCCAGGATGAAGGGCTTGTGGGCCCTAGCAGGCCTGGCTACTGCTCAGCAGGAAGTCACCCGGATTAGAGTGCTTGCCCCTAATCCAGCCTGCTGGGGTTTACAGGGATAAGAGCAGCTGATAATGAACCTCATTAAGGGGGGCAGGAGCCTCAATCCGATTTGGGGTTTTCTCTGACATCTTCACTCAAGTCAGATGGCCTCAGCACTGGGTGGAGCTGGTTGAATGCTAAGGACACCCCTTGTATTTGGACAGCTGGGGTGGGGGGATGGGGAAAGCAGCCACCCCCCCCCAATCAATCCTTGCTGGTGCTGGTATCATTTGACCTGTTTAGCTTCTGGGACAGTTTCCTTCTCTGTGCCTCAATCTAAGCCACCCGCCTGCTCCCTCCATCCTCCTGGGCAGCATGTGCTTGCTGGGTGGACCCTGGCTGAGTCTGAGAGGCTGCTGGGCCAGCACATCCAGCAAGCAGGCCTGAGGGTCCTGGGCCAATGCTCAAGGCCCCCCAGCCAAGACCACTGAGGTATCTGCTCCCCACCACCTGGTTTCTTCAAGTGCAGATGAGTCATGTCAGCAACTCCTATAGGCTTCAGTGACCATCTTTTCTAGTACAAGACCTGGGTGTTTAGGATTGGAGCTCAGCTAGAACTGCTGTCTTGGGCTGCTCTGGTTCAATAGGGTCTACCCACGGGGCCAAGATGGAGCAAGGTCTTATTCAGGGACCTTCTTAGTGTAGGCCGTCCCCCCAGCACAGCAGGCCTCATTTTGCCCTGTCCCAGGCCCTCTGATTGATAGGCAGGGTGGGCCTCCTCTGCAGGACTGCTGCCTTTCACCTTGATTTCCCCAGGGCTCTGGCCCTCAGCTTTGATAAGCCAGCCTGCCCACAGCTGGTCCCTTCCCCCACCAGGCTGCCAGGCTGGGAGTGGGGGCTTGCTGCGCCTTGCAGTCCTTCCTATGTTGTTTCTCTGGCCCTTGGAAGGCTCTTGTGTCAAAAGAGAGTCTGAAGAGGAGGCTGTACTTGTTTTTTCTTTTTTCTGGAGCTGGAAAGAAAGTCCTGTTTGTGTGTGGCATGTTACCTCCTAAGGATTCAGGAGGTGACAGCTAAGCTGGACTATGAAAAATGACTAGGCATCAGCAAGGAAAATAAGGAGAGAGATGCATCACAGGCAGAGGAGAAAGCATGCACTCAGTCCAATGAAGCAAACTAGTGAACATGAGAATTCCTAAGCAAATAAATGGGTTAGTGTGCAAGATAACCTTGAGGCTGCCTTGGGTTAGAAGCTGAAGAAAACACAGGAGACATGTTCCCTGATGTCTGGAACTGAGTTTGACCAATAAAGACAGACCAAACAAACCAACAACCAAAAAATGAGATCAAAGGTACAGATAGAGGTGAGTGTGTCTTGAGGATAGACACCAGCAAAGAGAGGATCCAAAGGCTTATCCAGACCCAGGATTCAAAGCCACAAAGTGTGGGGTGGAGAGCCCATTCCCTATTCCCTACCCCAGGAGGTCGGACAGCCTTGGCATATGGTGGGAGAGCCCAGGGGCAGCCCACCCAAGAGGGCCCAGAGGAAGCTCTTAAGTCTGGGTTGGGCTGGATTAAGGAGTTAAGTCTAGCCTTGAAGATTGTGAACTTGGAATCTGATGTCTAGATCTGAATCCAACTTCCAATACTTCCCAGCTATGTGACTTTGAGCAAGGTAATCTGATTCTTGAAGTCCCCTTGTCTTTGTGTACGAGTAGAGATAAGCTACCTAATTCACTAGACTATGGTGCCATGCTGGCAACCAGTAAGTGCTTAATGATGGTAGCACACTGTTCATGCCAGCTTCCTGTCTTACCTCACATGGGACTCCGCTGTGTCCGGGTGGAGTCCCATCCACACAAGGGATTCTGGCACTGCGCCTTCAGGTGGCAGCCCTGGGTTACCTCAGAAGGTGCTACTGTCCAGGACTCAGTTGAGGCACTGAGTGGAAATAATCCCTCCCTCCCCTCATTAGTCACAATAGTGGAGTTCTTCATGAAAAAAAAAAATTAAAAAGCCTTAGGTTTAGCTGGGCACTGGTGGCTCACGCCTGTAATCCTAGCTACTCAGGAGGCTGAGATCTGAGGATCGCGGTTCAAAGCCAGCACGGGCAGGAGAGACTGTGAGACTCTTATCTCCAATAACCACCAGAAAAACCGGAAGTGGCACTGTAGCTCAAGTGGTAAAGCGCTCGCCTTGAGCTGAAGAGCTGAGGGACAGCGCCCAGACCCAGAGTTCAAGTCCCACGGCGGACCAAAAAAAAAAAAAAAAAGCCTTAGGTTTTAGGTACGTGCCTGAGGCTCACACTTATAATCCTAGCTATTCAGGAGGCTAAGATCTGAGGATTAGTCCATGAGACTTATCTCCGGTTAACTAGCAAAAAACCAGATGTAGAAATGTGGCTCAAGTCATAGAATATCAAACTTGAAAAAAAAAGCTAATCAAGAGCACCAGGCTCTGAGTTCACGTCCCAGTAATGGTACAAAAAAGAAGTATAATTTTCCTGTAGGGGCAAATAAAAGGATAACTGGCTTATGATAAAAAAAATCCAAAGGAGCTGGGCACAAGTGTCTCATATCTGTAATCCTAGTTGCTACTCAGAAGGCTAAGATTTTAGGATTGGGATTACAATTTGAAACCAGTCTGGGTAAGAAAGTCCATAAACTCTCTTTTTTGTTTTTGGTAGGTCATGGGGCTTGAACTCTGAGCCTGGGCGCTATCCCTCAGCTCTTCAGCTCAAGGCGAGTGCTCTACCACTTGAGCCATAGCACCAGTCCTGGTTTTCTGAGTGGTTTATTGGAGATAAGAATTTCACGGACTTCCAGCTACACCAACTTTTCTACAAATGACAATTTCATTTTTCTTCATGTATGAGTAATATTCCATAGCATATAGGTACCATGTTTTATCAGTTCAATTGGTTGTTGAACACCTCAGCTAACTCCACCATTTGGCTGATGTGAACAAATCTGTAATAAACATTAGTAATAAAAAAAAAAGAATTTCATGGACTTTCCTGCCTGGGCTAGCTTTGAACCATGATCTCAGCCTCCTGAATAGCTAGGATTATAGGTGCCCAGCTCCATAAACTCTTATCTCCAGTTAATCACCAAAAACTGGAAGTGGAGCTGTGGTTCAAGTGGTAGAGTACAATTCTTACACATAAAAGCTTAGGGACAGTGCTCAGACCCTCAGTTCAAACCTCAGGACTGGCAAAAAAAAAAATAGTTCAAGGGAGTATCTATGAAAGCATAATATATAATACAAGTGGCTACATAAATCAATGGATTAGTAACTGCGGATACAAAGCTGGCTTCATACATGCTTTCTACCAAAGATGGATGGTTCAGGTCTAGAAACATAAATATGAAACATAAATTTGAAAAATTCTAAAGCCAATAAAAGAAAATATGAAAGTATACTACTAGAGTGGTAAAGTACCTCTTACACAGGAAGCACAAAGCTGAAACCATAAGGTAAAGCATCAATGGACTTATCTCTCAATGAAGAATTTCCTTCCATGGAAAAGTAAGCAAGAGACCACAAACTGGGAGAAAGTCAAAGAGGCTATCTCAAAAAAAAAAAAAAAAAGGAGGGCTGGGAAGGTGGCTCAGTGGTAGAGCGCTTGCTTTGCATACATGAGGCCCTGGGTTCGATTCCTCAGTGCCACATAAGCAGAAAAAGCTGGAAGTGGGTAGAGCGCTAGCCTTGAACTAAAGAGCTGAGGGACAGCGCTCAGGCCCAGAGTTCAGGCCCCACAACTGACAAAAAAAAAAGGAAAGAAAGAAAAAGAAAATACTTGTAATATCTAAGACCTCCAGCTGCCCTCTCCCTAGTTAGACGCAAGGACAAAGCTGTCCAACAGGCCTGGCAGGAGACTCTTGTTGCCCTTGATCTGGGAGGAGCAAGGCCATGAGATGGCACAGCAGGGGAACAGCATGCCAGGGCCAGTGGCCAGGCGCGCTGGTCCACTGGCCAAACCTCCTCTGAACCAAGGGTAACCAAGTCCAGCCCTCATCTCTCTGAGACCAGTTTTAATCATAGTAACACAGCTCAGGCCTTGAGTACCAGCACTGAATGGCAACGTGTGTGGTAAAATGGACAAATTACCCTGACGGGTTCCAATTTTCACTCTCCAGGAGCAATTCCCTGTAGGCCCACTCCAGAGCACAAGTGTGAAACACAGCCTTCATGGTAGATTAGCGGCCTAAAGGAAACTGTCACCTCTCAGATCAGAGGGAGGGAGTGGCGCTCATTCTGTTTTTCTCTGGAAGAATTCCTTTCTGTGTCCAGGCTGTGGCCAAAGCAACACTTTTTGTTACCCCTGTCTTGTCTCTGTGACTAAAAAGACTGAAACTGTGCCGTGGCTGTGTTTGGGGGAGGTGTTGAAGAATTCTAGACATGTTTTGAAATTCATTACCAGAAGTCATAAGTGCAGATAACTTCATGCAGTTGGACAGAAGAAGAGCTGCCCTGGTCCAGAGGATAGCTGCAGGTAGGCTTTTCCAGAAGGAAAAGAGAAGATGGGGAAGTAATGTTCATAGCCTGGAGATTGGCCTGTAGAGTCTCATACAACCCACCCGGAAGTAAGTGTGCGAATGACAAGCCTGGTGGTCATGAGCAGACACTCCTCCGCACGGCAAAGGGAATTCAGGGCTGATCGTAGAGAAACAGTAAGGGGTTCACATGCGTCGGGGGCTAGGGAGGAAG